ATAGACTGACATTAGATAGAAAGACATAGGAGAGGTAGACATGATTAGATATGATAGACTGACATTAGATAGAAAGACATAGGAGAGGTAGACATGATTACATAAGATAGACTGACATTAGATAGAAAGACATAGGAGAGGTAGACATGATTAGATATGATAGACTGACATTAGATAGAAAGACATAATGGGGTACGTTGGCATTAGTTATTGTTTTGTTTTAGTAGGGTTTTTACGGCGCTCACAACTGCGAAAGGTCATAATAAAATGAGCTCGGTGGCACTAGTTCGACATGGGAGAGGTAGACAGAGATATTAGATTAAGAAAGACAGACATTAGAATATATAGACATGGGGTAGGTTGGCAATAGATAGTTAAACATAAGATAGATAGATAGATAGATAGATAGATAGATAGATAGATAGATAGATAGATAGATAGACAGATAGAAACTAAGACCAACATGGTTCAGACTCTGTTTCGGTCACCGAGACTAACAATAAGCTATAACATTGATACATTGCTTATCATTTGGCAATGATTCTCAGAGTGCTTGGTTTCGGAGAAAAATTTAGGATTACATTAAAAGTGAACTAACCTTGATAAGTATTGGTCAAACACAAGGGGGCTATCCCGAAAAATGCTGTTTTGAGAAAATTGAAGTTAAAGTTTTTGCCCCTTGTTCTGTTTCTTTAAAAGACAAGGAGAGTTTTCTCTGTAACAAAACAAATATACACACCAATGAATTAAAACTTCTCCTATAGGTAGGGCAATGTCCACTTTTGGTGTACATCAAAATTTCTGGAAACCCCTGAAACCTGTGTTAGCCCGCTTGTCCTTGGAAGTGACGTGTGAGGTGAACGTTGAAATGTGGAGATCCCACCACTTCATTTGACTTTCCGGGTTGAAAGTGGCGTAATCTCCATAGTCCAAACGCTAAAGAACTTACCAAGTCGGGGTATTGCTTGGCCAAGGTGCTCAGATAAATGATGGAGTGAGACAGCCAGTTTTTGCCGTCATAGCTCTCGTAGTTCTTCAGCCAGATCTGGGCACAGAACGGACATTCAATGTCGTGCTGGCAGCACGCAGGATATCTATACATGATAGTATATTTGTGCAAGTTCGTCACTTTCGCAGCCTAAAACTTCCGAACCACTTAACTTTCGAATGTGACAAAATTAAAAGAGGTTCAGAATCATTTAAAAGGTGCACAGTTTTAAATAAGGAGTCTGAAATCACTGTAGTTTAATTTTCAGTTTTTCATTAGTTTCGTTTAGATTTAATCTTGGAAAAGTCCGTCTTCTAAGACGCCATTGTAAACAAGTGAAGTTTCCGTTCACTGGCAGGGAACACTTATTCCACACCTTTGCAATTATGGAGTGTACAACCACGAAAGCGGAATAAAGAATCAATCTATAGGCCTACATATATCATATATTTGTCAACTTGAAAATGCGTGTGTCACTTTTCTCTCAATGTTTATTGCTCCATTCCAGTAGAGTGTAATATAGGCCAATGACTTTCAGTTGATGTTAATGCACCGATCATTCATTTCATCGAAAAGGGGCCCAGCTAGTAGACAGTAATACAGCTAGCAGCTTGAATCTTTTTTAAACCCTATCCGTACGTCGTGTTTTACTATCGTATCCATACGACGTGGGGAACTCTGTGCCACCACTTTCCAAAAAGGAAATTTACTCATTAATCCGGTCCGTACGCTTTGCATAGCAGTCTGTCAAAATTATTTTTACAGAAACACTGAAAGTTTCAAAGAGATCTTCGCACCAGAAGTATTCTAAAATGTGAAGAATGCAACCCCGGGGGTACAAAATGACCCCAGGGCGTACGGATAGGGTTAATCGCTATAAGGCTGTGTTTAATCAATAGTGACAGCCCTTCCCAATATATCATAGGGACAACAGCAGTTGAAAGGGGGTTTGTTTGGCTGTTTTTGTTCTTTTTGTTTTGTTTTTTTGTTGTTGTTTCTTTGGGTTTTTAAAAACCCAATAAGGACAACAATTCCCAATACCTTGTACATCATAGCGACAGCAGCAGTTAATGTTGGTTTTGTTTTGGTTTTTGTGTGTGTTTTTTTGGGTTGTTTGTTGATTTATTTGTGAGGCAGCGTGGTGGAATCAGGCCGTCGTCAACTTTTGGGCATGTAGAGTTATTGGTATCATCTTAAAGCTTGTTCATTTATCTTTGTTTGGATGAAAAAAATATCAATTTATCTTGAATACAAGTGGAGATATTTGCAAATGAAGGAGGTAGGGGCCACTTGTTTTCAGAGGAAAAATTAGTGAGAAAATGGCCGCTAAATTGGTTATTTCCTCAGCTTAAGAGTCAATGGTAACTGAAAATTTACATTTTTTTGTTCCTTTAATCAACGTTTTTAAGAACAATCCACACAGAAATGAGTTCTTTAATGGGCATGAAAGGTGTTGAGCCAAAAAATAAAAATTTGATAAAAATTCACAAACCTGCGGAAAAATGCAGGTTTCTTCACTTTGATTATTTTTACGAGAGCCTGATTCCACCACGCTGCCTCATATATATTATAGTGACAACAGCAGTTGATGTTGGTTTTGTTTTGTTTTTGTGTGGGGGGTTTTGGGTTGCTTGTTGATTTATTTGTTTTATCAGCATAAGGCCACCTGTAATCAATATTGAGAGAAATTACCAATATGGCCTGTATAATGTTTCTTTCAGTATATATTTGTTTTTTGTTCATGCTGTTCTCACAAAATTGACCGAGTGTCGTAATCGATGGGACTGTTTGTTTGTTTGTTTGTGTGTGTGTGTGTGTGTGTGTGTGTGTGTGTGTGTGTGTGTGTGTGTAAG